CTGGCCTCCATTAGTGATTCACAGAGCAGCCTTCGCTTCTTTTCTTCTAGTTCTTTCACAAAAGCGGCCACTCTTTTCTTGTTTTTCTTGACATCTGACTCCTCCCGACTTTCTTCCTTCTTTTTCTGGAATTTCTCTCGAAAGATGCTGTAGGAATTGCGAACCATCTTGTCAGTAATTTCAACCTTGTCCACGCCGCCTGCTTCCAGCACAGCATCGTGTACTACTCGCTGCGCTATGAGCGATTCTTCTTTCAAGTTTTCAACAATGCACTCTTTGTTGACTGAGATGTCTCTTTCTACGACAGCACTGCTGTGAGACAAGCATAGAATGATCTTGATGAAAGACAACAGCTCTTTGTGATCGTGGGAGCAGAGATCTAGCTACAGAACATCCAGCCTCTCCCTTTCCTGTCAAAATCTTTCAGTTTTTTCTGTGCAAGGCCCAGCGAACAGATCTGTACATAGGAATGATGGGCCCATTCTCTGCTTGTAGATCGGTCCGCCACTGGTCTTCTGAAAGCGCTTCAAGTGTGAGGGTCAGTCCTTTGCGGCCAGCCACAGGAGACAATGCGAATGCTGGATCCAAGCAGCCGGCACCCCTAGTTAGCTTATGCTTCAAGAGTGACCTCTCCATCACCTTTTGGCAGCACACCTTAATGAAGGAAATGCCTTCTTTCTTGAATATGAGCAAGATGAGCTGTGGTAGCTTGGGCGCCTTGCGGAGCTCGTTCTTTGCGGCAAACTCAACATCAAAGGCGGCTACGGCTATACAGTTCTCGGTTTTTCCAAATCAACCGTCAGTAGCTTAAGGGGCGTGTCCACAGCATTCAGGGTTTCCTTCTTGAAAATTCTTGCAAGCAAGAATCGTAGGATGTCATACAGTGCCGTCGAAAAAAAGGAAACCATTGGCTTGTCGGTCTCAAATTCTGCCAAAAATGGCTCCAGTTCTTCAGCAATTGACAGCATAAAGGCTGGTCTTGCCAGCAACAGCTGATCACCGAGTGCATTCACAACGGCGCTGTAGCTGGGGCATGTCGGCCACTTGCTTGCCTTTGTTGAGCACTCTACAAACTTTGCCAAGTTCGGAAGAACTTGCAATGCCCTCGTAATGAATTACCTTGCCGTTTTCGAGCCACCTTACTGCACAGAACTTGAGAGGAAATAGTGCGCTCCCGGTGAAGTTGGCACAATCGGCACGACAAGCAGGCACATATTTGAAGAGGTTGTAGCTGCTGCAAAGAAATGCTACTACATCCCAACCAACTGCAGCATGGCCTGCCTTGTATGCACCATTCATTACGCACAGCCCACAACTTCCAATGTCCAGAATATTGTGGCTCTCGTCCGATTCCTTCGGTTCTTCCTTCAGTGACCTCAGAAAGTTCTTTACATTTGAGCCATTCATAGAAACTTGTAGTATCTTCGTTTGATTGATCGGTTCTGTTGCCTCCCTGAATGCTGATGCCAGGTCTTCCACACAGGTGTAGCCCAGGAAGCACGAAGTGAAGTACTGCATCTTCACAGTGCCACTTGAGTGTCCAAATATCGGACAAGCACATCCATCTGTTGCTTCTGAGTCACTTTGTTGAGCGACTCGTCAAACGAAACAACTACGAAATGCATACAGGCGAGGCTAATTGTTAGCAACTTATTCCGAAAGTAGGGCGCAATACCATGAGAGATGGTATAGCCTACCTTGTCCTTCCCTAACTGAAGTTTTGCAGCAACTTCACACGCGGGAAACATGAGAGGGAAAAGTGAGGCCGACGCTGATGTAGAACGAAGGGATTCGTTAATCACTACCGAGTTTAAGCACCAAATTATCTCGGCCTTTGTCACAGCGCTCTTCAGTAGAAAGCCGCTCATCGACGTCTTCACACTTGTTGAGGTGACTTCAGGCTCCTCCGGGGCACATGTGCGATCTCCACTACATCCGGCCGAAACGTTAGTTGCTGCCATAAAAAAAAGGGGCAAAGTCCAGATTGGGAACGGCTTAACTGCGACTTCAAAGCAGCAAGGTGCTTTTTGCTCGGTGCGTGACTGGAAACTGCCGAGTTTCCTATGTTGCTCCAAGAAAACGTTTTGCGGCATATTGAGCACTAAGCACTCTGAGGATCACTTTGCACGGGCTTAATCCAACTTGCATATACCAATACATTCAGATTCGTCCAGTCCGGATTAAACAAGCACTTTCTTGCCGCCGACATCGTCAACGAAAAGGCCACTTCCGGAAACACGATGGAAACACAGCGCTCAACGACACACATCAATAACTGAATGTATGGCCCAAAAGTATCCGAAAGTGCGCATCGCAGAGGCGCACTTTCGGATACTTTCGGATGGGATTGGATTGAATTGGGGTCTGCGGCTTTACCATTTGTTACTAAGTCTAGTGGCTTTAACTGGATCTAGCCTAAAGTCGTGCCCTTAGTCCAATCCAACCCAATGCATGGCTTGGACTGAATTTGTCGGCTGTTCCCTTTGCATTGGGTAGCCCAAGCTGCATGGGTGAGCAGAGGCCGCGTTTCACTCAGCAGAATTTATTGCCCATTTTTCTGCCCCCAAGTCGTCGAGCTTTTGCTCAGGGAGCTTGATGGCGTTTCCGGCTCATTTTCCCTGACTGGGCTCGCTTTTTGACAATATCCCTTATAATTCCATGATTTTTCCCGCTGCATAAAATTTTCCCTGACAATTACCGGTTTTCCCGGTCGCTAGACACCCTGATATATATATATATGTGTGTGTATCTATATAAACAAACATATGCAGATGAATGAACCATGCTTAATCCAATGAATCAAAGAATCAAATTTTCCCGAACCCGCCGAAAGCCAAAACATACGGGTTCGTGAAACTTTGGTTCTTTCATTCATTGGAGGAAGTATGGTTCATTCATCTGCGTATGTTTGTTTATTTCCTCCTTAAAGACCACGTAATGATGGTGGAAATTTCGGGGGGTGTTCTGACACCTCAACAGCCCCCTGGCTACGCGCCTGGTCCGTACGTAGCTCACAGGTACTTCATTCGATCGAAGTTTCTCGCAGTTGGCAAAAAGCGGCACCAACTTAGCAGAGTGCGTGTGCAAGGAAGCCTCGACCGCTTTCTGCAGGCACGATAAATATCTGCCTGTGACAACCTGTGTTTCTTCTTTTTTGTGTGTGTGTAACTTTCACAGTTACACAGCTGAAACACAAACGAAATAAACGTTTATGACGAGGACAGGTGCTACTTAACTAATTTTACTGGAGAAACATTCACTGTCAGCCTGTGGTTCACCATAACGGTAAGATTTTTTTTTAGACGACTCCCTATAAGACTGCCAGTATAATAGAGAGTTTTAGTAGATCGTTCGGATACCTCCGATAACGATACTATGCATGCGCAAGGGAGGCGGTGGCGGGGTATCAGGTATCGTTATCGAAGTCATGGAACGATCTATAAAACTCTCTATTACTGGTATATGGCTTGTTATCAATATGGTGAACGACAGACTGGCTGAGTAAAAATCACTTGCAAGTAGCACTTGTCCTTGTCATACTTGTTTCTATTTTCGTCAGTGTTTCAGTTTGCGCCTTTAACCTTTTAGAAGTAAAGCTGTCCAATCTACTTTTGGTTGCTACCTATCCAGACCAATTCCCTACTGAAGTCCGACGCAAACCCTTGCCCTCGAGTACCAGGATGGTGTTGACACGAATCAAATTTTCTTTAACGCGATCATTACTTTATTCCTACTTACACATATGCTACCTATGCAAACCGTGATAAAGCATTTGGAAGACAACGAAATAAGTATGCCTCACCATTTTAAAACAAACTCCTTTAGGAACTCTTTTTTTTTTTTGTTAAATAAATTGGCAAATAGGCACCGACTGTCAATGGATGCTGTAAATTATGCATGTGCGTCATTTCTTTATATTTGCACTTTTAACATCCCTACCAACTTGCTTTTAACTCATAGATGGCACTTTTTTCAAAATAAAAATGAAATAAATAAAAATAACTTTTGCAAAGCGCGAGAGAAAAGGGAAGCTTCTCTGGCATCTGTCCTCCGGCAGAGGGTGCCCCATCACGCAAAGGCCTGTCGGAACAGAATACTACAAAAACTTTGAGGCAACACGACTCCGTCAATTATTGTGGAAATGAAAGCGTCCGACAGTGTGACGTCTGTTTGGACACCGGCCAAGTGAACAGCGCAATTTTCCTCCTCGCTTCCTCCGCTTTTCAGTGACCCCGGTTCTCGGCAGGCCTGATGTCACGCGCCACCCTTCTATACCAATGCTTCGAGTTTCATACTCTGAGCGCAGCAACTAAACGGAGCATAGCGTACTGGAGAACGACACACCGAGCCTGTCAACGGGCCGCATGAGCCACGTCCAACCGCACGGTTCTGACGATCTCGGCATCTCGTGGATACGGGTGGCAGAAGCCGAAATTATTCCAAAGATAAATTAATTAAGACTTCTGTAAAACAACAAAGAAAAAAAAAAGGATGGTGACTTTAGGAAATTTTTATGAACGTTCTAATATTCAGAAAGTTACTTCGATTGATCTATTTATTGAACATCCGTGCGATTCAGATTTAAATGAAAGACAACATTCTTGAACCCATTTGTCGTAGGAAACTGTCAAATTTGTCAGATGCTCCGTGGTTTTGTTTTGCAGCGCGAGATGGAACCCGTCGATATGCTACGCCAATACCGGCACACCACCGTTCAATAGATAGCACGCCAATTCTTTTGTGGGCGAGATGCACGAACAAACCTTTTCCCGACACTAACCGATGTTTCAGCTTTCCAATCGAAATATCTCTATTCACTGGGCTAAGCATTCTAAAAAGGGCAGCGGTCCGAACATCGTCTCATCTCGACAACTTTTCTATCGCTGTGCTATCAGCATGCTACTGTTGGATAAAATAATTTGTTTCCAGGAGAGATACATAAACAAACCGTTTTTGGAACGCTAATTACTATCTTATCTTTCAGATCAACTTGTTTTTACCTGCTGAATTAAGCACCATTCAACTAAAAAGGGGCAGCGGTCCAGGAGTGCCCTTCGTCCAGACTTGTACACGTTACTGAAAAAAAGTAACTGATTACAATTACAATTACTACAGTCAAAAAAGTAACCGATTACCGTTACTGATTACTGCCTCCCAGAAGTAATTGAACAATTACTGCAAAGTAATTGATTACTTTTCAAGTTACTTTCACGTTACTTCTTATTGCGATGACAGAAATACACAAATACACAGTAAAATATTGCGTACACAATTTTGTTTGGTTATTGTTCCCTTTTTTGTTTTCAGACCCGGACCTTGTCGTGTAGCTGACGCGTCGACCTAAGGAACAAAGCCCACTAAAAAGTCAATAGCGAGTTCCCGCTTCCCGTCGACTTTATCAGCAATCTGCAACGAGATCCGGAACTCCCCAGCCAAGGCTGGTGGCGCGCTTGTAGAAGAGCGTGGCGTAAAAGAAAAAAGGATTTGCCGACTAATCCTAGTTTTATTTTTTTTAGATGTTAAAAAAATGTCAATAATTTTTGCTCCATGGCTGAGTGACTATGCTGATTTTTGTGAGAAAAAAGAATTGTGGGATGAAAAATGTAATTGGTAATTGTGTAATTGATTTTGTAATTGATTACAGAAAAAAAGTAATTGAATTACTCCGAGCGTTACAGCTTGACAAATGTAATTGAAGCGTTACAAAATTACACTTAACTGTAATTGATTACAAGTAATCAATTACTTGTAACGCGTTACGTACAAGTCTGCCTTCGTCTCGACAATGTTTCTCTCAGCACAGCCATCCTGTTTCTGGACGTGACGTCATAGAGCGTGAAGAAGTCACTCGCGCTCTGAGAAATACTTGATGCATAAAGAGCGCACTCGAGTGACAGTCTCGGGCGGCACTCCAATCAGTTTAGTGAACGGAGCGCTGCCGTGATGTCACTAAAGTCTAGAGCATGGCCTAAACGTGCCCTACGCTGTCCGTCTGTTCTGCCGGGCCCTCGAATCTTTGGCCGTGTTCTCAAATTTTACTTTATCTTACTCTAGGATAAGGTTTTTGTACTTTTGCGTTTGAAAACCTACCCCAGTGCAACGTCGCTCTATCCATGTTTTTACGTGACACAACCCGCCGGAGTTGCTTGGACCTATTTAAGCAAGATTTCAAACAAAGCCCTTTCCTTTTTTTGTTTTCGGGACCTGAAAAGCAGCAGAGACCTTGAGCGATTGACCGACATCTAACAGAGCTTGTTAGTGGCTGTCCGAACCCACGTGTTGAACATCTTCAAGGACTCCGTGAAAGACACGGCCGACCTTTGACGAAAGAAACTTTCTCCTCAGCAAAAAAAATCGGACAAAAGAGGAGTGCCGCACGACTCATGTCAGAGTCGTATCGCCTCACGATTTATGTAATATCCTGTTTGGACAGGCCTTAACCCGTCTTAGTGCAAAAGAGCTTACCCATGCTGTCTTCACGGCAGGCACTCTCCTTTTTGATGTCCGAAGCTCTTGTGACCATCCCTGACGGGAGGACGCACAAAATCAGTCAACTGATTTTCACAAGATTCAATAGTTTCTCTAGAATCGGATAACTTCCAAAAGGTGCCAAGACAGAGATCAGACGCCAAAAATTAACCCAAAGTCTATGCTATGGTAACAAAGCCAGCCATTAATTCAATGACCTAATACATGCACATACTGTAATATACCGCACAAGTGCCCACTCAACATTTAGAGATAACCACAAAAAAATAGGGGGAATGGGCATCAATTTTACATATCAATGTAGTGTGCATATTTTCTCAGATCTTACAAATTCGGGAATGGGCGGATGCGCGGTATTCTACGATAACCCACCACGCAGACTACTTTGATGTAACATTTGTCTTGCAGCCTTTATTTCTGGGACCGTATTTATTTTTAATTTTTATCAATGATATCACCCACTCACTGAAATTAAAACAAAGGCTCTATGTGGATGACTGTGTAGTCTATTCTGAAATTTCAGAAATGGCCGACTGTTGGGCATTACAAGATGACATCTGCCGTATCTCAGCCTGATGCGACACATGAGGCATGAAGTTAAACATAGATAAATGTAATCACGTATGTTTTACGCGCAAGCATAAGCCTGTCCTCTTTATATGACATAGCGGAAATTTTTTGCCGAAAGTATCAGATGTAAAATACCTTTGTGTGTATTTTTCAGAAAACATTACCTGGACAAAACACATGGACGATATTAATGTCGAGAGTTGGGCTAGATGGTATTCGTTGATCATAATGTAAAAACAGCGCAAACAAACACGGACGAAGGAGAAGAAACACGCAGACGGGACAAGCGCTTGTCCCGTCTGCATGTTTCTTGTCCTTCGTCCGTGTTTGTTTGCGCTGTTTTTACATTATGATGGACGATATAACCACACAACCGGCTCAGATGCATAACCTTATTAAGAGAAACTTAAGAGATTGCCCTATGAACATTAAAAGCACATTATATGTTAATATATTAGACCTATCTTCGAGTATGCAAGTGTTTCTTGGGACCCCAGCCAGGCCTATCTTGTGAACCAACTAGAAAGTACAAAACAGAGCATATAGGTTCATAGCAAGTAACTCCAACTTTAGGTTGAGTGTTAGCCAGATAAAAAGAGAGCCAAATTTAATCTCATTAGCCCACAGAAGGAGGCCTGTGCGATTAAAATAGTATCATAGCATCTTTCATAACCACCTCGGCATAAATAAAGCTAACAATATGCTGCCTCCCCCCTTTCACATCAGGAAAGAGAATCACCAAAAAGAAAGTGGGAGAGTATCAGTGTACAACGGATGTATTAAAAACCTCTCTTTCTTTATCTACAATGATCGACCCAAACACTCTACCGGAAGACACAATCAACATCCCATCTACAACTTTGTTCTTCGATAATATCTTAACTGCTGACTTTTTAGACTGATGCAAGTGTTCTCATGCTCATGCCACTGTTCAATTGAGTACCATGTAATTACTCTGAATCTGTTTTGCATGCTCATGTTATCGTGCCTTGTGCTTTTGTACATTTGCTCATGCATTCGCATCCCTCCCTCGCAATAATCCGAGGCAAGCTAAATAAATAAACAAAACAGAGGCATTTTGAGGACTCTCTCAAATGCACAACCGAGGGGTGAAACGACACAACAGAGAAGTATTGCCTGCTCCCAAACTAAGGTGGGGTCATGTCTGAAGTATGCACCGCACACTACATCATAAGTTTCTCTTAATAATGTAAGAACGAGCTGTATCATATACGGATGCTGAGGAGAAGCACTCGACTGCCCAATTCCAGTCTGTTGCTAGTTGAGGGCACAAGTGGGATAAAAACAAAAAGAAATGCTCCGCAAAAAGCCCTGCAACTGTGGTAGCCTAGAAGAAGTGCTGCTGCAGCTTCGGTCATGAATGCTTCACACAACCTTTTAAAGCAACAGCTCCATCAATGAGAACTCAAATTTACTGATCACTCGATGGAAGCAACACTTTTTTCAGTAAAAAGGTTGCAGTAAGGATACACAAATTGCTGCACACTCCAAAGAAATACCCAGGGCAAAATAAAATAGAAACACAATTGCACCACACTGGCTTCCCCTACAGCAACACTATGGTAGTGAATCAAATTGGGTAGCTCGACTCTAGATACGGCTAGAGAACAGGGCATGCTGGCTGCATGACATCAATCGCAACAATGAGGTGCCCAGTTGGAACCAGTACAGCTGCATTCGTGTACAGAAATACGCCGCTTCAAGAACTCGTGCTGTGCAGAATTGACTTGGCTGGTAGGGGGTGCCCTTTCAGGACTCCAATGCGGTACCCAGCACACCTTCTTTGGAGCGTTCACTGAAGTGTTGGACCTGCAGGATTAAAGGTAGAGATGAACTCTTGCCTCCAGAGATGCAATTTCAAACAAATAGCACAAGGGGCTTGTCACTGAGGAATCTTTTGGCAACTTTGCACATTTCAGTTGTTACAGTCACTGAAAAATTAAGAATTGTCTAGCGGGGCAAATCCTAGCATCTTATTTTCACTCCACAGCAAAAGGAACTACGGCATTGGCTGACAAGAATGATGACCAGAATGCAAAGCATATCATAAGTCATGCCTTACATTTCTCATTGGAGGACATTAACCAGGAAGTTTGACTTTTTAATCCCTAGCTGAAATGAATTAAAATTAATGGCATCTACTGCTAGGCGTAATAAAAGATTTTCTGCACACAATATTTGTAAAAAAAATTCTGACAGTTCCTATCAAAGAAAAAAGCAAAATGTCGGGAGTGTGTGGCTGTGCAAACGATTTTGTAAAAAGTAATTTAACAACATTGTTCGGCAAAATCAGTTAAATTTTATGCCTTCTGTGTCCTCAAGTCTCAGTATTTTTATTAGTAACATCAGTAAAGTGAAAAAACAATTCAGCAATCACATTCCTCATTAAATTTCAGCCAAGAAAAACAAAGGATGAACCTTTTAGTCCTATGATGAAATGAAATTGACTACAATGAAATTTATATTAAGGAAATGAAACAAAGAATAAAGGCCCGTTCACACACTTGCAACCGAGTACAACCGAGAGAGACGAGACCTGTTGAAACCTCTTAAAATTTCTTAGGACGAGACAACACACTGGCATGCTGGCGCCATCTATGCGGTAACCCTCGAACTGCATCTCACAAAAGCGAAGGTTTTGCAAGATTTCCTAGGTCAAACGTGCGTAATACCCATGAGAAAGGCTCATTTATAACGTTCACAAAAGTTCTTCAATCCAAGAAAGGACAATGCGCGAGAGAAATAAAAAATATGACGGACCGCCAAGTTTACACAGCTACTCAATAGATGGCACCAGTGGATTCTCTCGTCATAAGATATATTAAAAGGTTCCAAGGAACAAGGTTCTAAGAGGTTGCAAGTGTGTGAATGGGCCTTAATGCATTGCGCTGAAACACAGAAAATAATTAATGGAAAGTGAGCTATACAACAGAGATTAATGAAACTGGGTGCAAATATCCTTCAGATGTTGGTGGATCTAAATAAAAGCATTCTTCAAAATCAATGTTTTTTTAGCGAAAAATTATCTTCCTAGGCTAAGTCCCCCCCTAGACTATTCCATTTAGTACTCTCTGGGCGGCACCATTTTGTTTGACCGCAGCGCCCTCTCCACACATCCGGGAAGTTCAGCAGGTTCGGCGGGGCAAAACAAGAGAGAGGGCACGCGCCCGACTCCGCTAGCAGACGACAAACCAGGAGGTTGCCGTTCTCCATCTTTGGGCTGTATCGGCGGGCTCTACCGAACATCGAACTCTTGCTCGTGGTTGCCGTTGTGAAGTGGTTCGCGTTCTTAGAATAGTTGTGGCTACTCCAAAATCAACCTATAGCTCCCTGTTGTTCTATTTTGCTAAATGATAACTAGCATATCTTTTTTCCGTTACTTAAATAGCAGTTGAGTCAGCCGGCAGTACTACCCTCAACTACTGCTTGTATTGCGGTAGGAGAGCACGTTTTATTTATTATTTCAGACTTCCCCCCATGGTTGCTAAAGGCCTCCACCAGTACAAACTTGTGTATAGTAAAAAAGGTACAGCAACCGGATTTACTTTTCGCCAAAGAGACCGGCCAATCTGACACAGTTTGCCGTATTTTTATTTTTTAATTGCACGCAGGTAACAGCGCAATTGGACCCTGCGAGTCTTTTTATCTAGAATAGTATTATACGATAACTGGCATACCAAAATCTGCGCATCTGCGCCAGAAAATTCCAAAATGACGCGATTTTAAACAGTTTGCACGCCAGCCGGACGCTAGCTACAGCCCACTCGGCGGAGCGGACGACATGCGGGGTGAGAGGGGGAGTGCATTTTTTTCTCTTTTACCCTCTCTGCTATGACCCTAATGGAACGGTCTATACTGTCAGTGTGAAGCTAATATTAATATTATTTGCAGCTTGCTCCTGGTTGCATCCTGTAACAAAAAACAAGAGCATGAAGTGATTCAATTCACTGGACACTAATCAATTGATGCTGTCGACTGCACATTTTGGCAGCCCAGAAGACATTTTTGTAAAGCAGAGCATTTGTGGTTCTAGGTGAGGACATTTACTACATGCTAAAACCACGAACGAAAACAAAGACCCAAGAGATAATAGGCATCCTATCTGGATACTTTCGTGAAACACCAGATCACATTTTGCTGGGAGACCCAAAGTTGGAAGGTTTGCTGTCCTCAGCAAGGTTTAAGATGGGATGAGTCAAGCTGAGGAGGTCATGGGATCATAGATTTCTAAATTTCCACTCAGAACATTGGAAAAAGCATGAAAGAAAACAAAAGATTAATAACAAGGTGCATCTAGAGCTTCATGCTCACAGTGAAACCGATAAAATAATTAGGAAAAAGGTGATACAGGATTTATTTCGGGGCTGCCTGGGCGTTGATGTACAGTCGGTAGAATGTATACATAAGCTTGGAGCAAAAAAACGGAAAAAACTAGGCCAGTTATCATGAAGGTTTATGATTACAGTGAAAAGAGTGACGTGTTTAGAAATTGTACGAAACTCAAGGGCACAAAAATATCAGTGTCAAATGACTACTCACAGGTGACGTAGCGCAAACGGAAACTGCTCTGGAACAGTGCAATGGCAGAAAAAGAACAGGGTGCTAAAATAAAACTTGTTCATGATAAGCTGCGAGTCAATGATGACACGTACGCGTGGGATGATGAAAAAAAATGTTGTGTAAAACTAGGCGATTGTCCGGACTCCGAAACTGCGTCTACGTGACAGCGTGAAAACACTCTGACGTCATCTATTTTCCTTGATAGCCAACTGTGATAAAGAAAAATGTAACGGTAAACAAAGTGTTGTTTCTGAAAGGGTTTTTCCTGAAAAGGCACATACTGCTTTGTTAGTGAACTGTCGCAGCGTAAAAAATAAGATTGAAAAGTTAAATGGCTTAATTCAAGTATTTCATCCTGACCTTATTTTTGGTACCGAATCATGGTTAGATGAAACAATACTGAATGCTGAACTTTTCCCCCCGGAATTTGACATGTACAGAAGGGACAGAAATGGACACGGGGGTGGGGTGTTCCTCTTAGTTAGCAAGTCTCTGAATAGCGTGATGATTGATGTGGGAACAGAACAGCTTGAAACGATACGGTGCCGGATACGAACCCCTAATAAAGGAAAGGGATATGGCTATTGGGCTCTTCTACTGACCCCCTGGAACCGGTGTCGCGACCCTTCAGGCTTTGAACGATGTTGTTTCTGTCTTACCTGATGAGCAGATATCTCTTGCTGGAGATTTTAATCTCCCAGAGC